TTGTATGCTATATGGAAACCTTAAACTCAACTCATCCAAAATAGAACTTGGAATAGAATAGCAGGAGTCTCCTGCTCCATTCTCAACTGCTGCTTCCTCCTGCTGTGATGTGTGTATTCTCCATTTATGGAAATGGCATCTCCATTCATGTCCTCATTCCAGCCAAAAATATGAACTATGTCAGGAATGTCCTTACTTCCCTTTAAATCATACTATCTAATCATTTACCAATAAGGTAGATTTTACTTTATTAGTATTTTCCCAACAGCTCCCACTTTTATATTTCCACTGCTCCTGACTCATCTTAGAACATAATAATTAAATAAAGTACTTTGGCATTCTGCCAGTTGTCTTCCCTGCCTTCATTCTCACACAACTCCAAACAGAACTGAAACTAGCTTTCAGAATCTAACATAATTATGTTGCACAAACTTGTTTATGCCTTCTCATTGGTTCTCTTTATTTTTGGGTTAATCTTTGCTCACAACTACCACAATTATTCTTTTATAATTTTCTGGCGCATTTTTTTTTAAAATTTCTGATTATGGGCTCCATGCTCTGAAGTGAGTAACACTTCCTATTTAATACTTGTTGCTCCTCTAGCAAGTTATTTCAGTCATTCCAGATGTACTTTCTTCCTTAATTATTTTCCTTATTATTTTAGGGCCCATATATAGTGCCCACTTTATTTTGAACTGATAATTCCACACTCTCCTGTTATTTTTCTGACACCTAGGATTAGGATTATTTGGGGGCCACATTAGAAGCTATTTCACATATGCTGAATGAAAACATTTCTAACTCATGTCCATTGAGGTCATGCATACTTCTGAAAATGCAGTAAAGTTCCTACCAGAAAAAAATTACTGCGGCCTATATCTTTTACTCTGGTTTTGCTTATTTCTGTAGCCAATGTTGATGGACCAAACCTTGAGAACTTAATCTTCCAGAATATTCACACATTTACTGAGCAATAATGTTACTATCTGTGCCCAAAGCAGCAGGTCTACTTGAATCAGGTGGGTGGCACGTGTATGATAAACATGGAGTTTATCCTATATACTTGTTGCTTGATCTGAGGTCTACACATACTTTATAAAATGACAGATATAAGCCTATGTGACCAGCTCATTCTGGATTCCAAAACTCAAGCAGGCTTCCCTACATAAACATCTCTCATGTGTCTCTGAGGTCTGCAGGTGCAGAGACCCTTGCAGAGAAGAAATGTTGGGAAGCCTGTATGTGACCTCTCTTGCCTTTACCTACATATAATTTTTTCCTGCTGTACTTTCACGATGTCCTTTGCTACATCAAGTCTCAGCCATGAGGATAATTTTACGTTGAGTTGTGTGAGTGCTTCAAGTGAATCTCTAGCAATCAGTTGTGTATCTGAGATGGCTCCTCCACCTTATTACTAACTTGGTTCCTACCTACATTTTCAAGGCCATTCCCACCCAGCTCCACACATATTGCAACCAGTAGTTGTATCCTATATCACTCCTCAGCTTATAAACAAAACCCAGACCCATTTTATATGCTCCTGGTGAATCATTTTAATCTCCTCCACCACTTATAATCATTCCCCCAGTGAATATGAAGAACTCGCTTCAAAGAGAGAGGAAGAGAAGAGAAAACAGCAGTAAAAAGTAAACTCTGTGTTATTGTAACAAAAATCAATTAGTGCAAAATGAATTTACCTTGGAGGAAATCTATTAATATTATCACTCATGGAAATAGTGCTGTAGATTCTGTTCTTACTCCCCCCCCCAAAAAAAAATATTTATAACTTAAGGGAATAGGCTGGATTTAGAGGCGGGATTTTGGAGGATATAAAGGATAGTATGTCTTGGAAATACTATTATGATGAAATATGTTACTGGAACCAAAATAGCTATGATCTATTTGATGATTTCCATCTCTAAGCAGCTAAACATGTTTTAGGCTGGGAAGAGAAGAAAGAAAGCCTGAAGCACAACAGGCTGCATGGTTTAAGAGCTTAGAGTATACTAGTGTATCATTTGCAGATCTGGCAAAGACCTACAAGGATTAGCAACAGATGAAATAGATTTAATGCTTCTTTGAAAGACCATACCACGGGGACTGGATGTGAGTCTCTAGGGAGAGCCAGAACTAATGTCTTATAAACCTGCTCTCTTAGCACTACACTCAAGCCAGGGAGCCTCATGAGGCCTCAGCTGCCCCACAATCCACAGAAATTGAATCTCTGACCTGGGGTCTGGTGAGTGATAGAAACATCTCGAGCTATAGTAGGTCAAATCATGTTGCATGTGTACTTGGGATGGAATTGAGAAAAGTCATGAGCTATCCTAGACATAATTTACAACTTTGTATGAGGATCTCTCAAACAGGAAGGGCATTTGTTAGAGGTACATAACACGTCTAATATATTCTATAGTTTTGGGAAACAAGCCCTGGACACTCTTTCCTCACTTAATAATCACTCAATTCTTGCTCTTAGAATTTGAGGTCCACTACGATTCAAACTACATTTATGTATGACACATATTAGATAATATTTCTCAGAAATTTGTTTTAAAAAAGATTTCTGAGACATGAAATTTTGCATTCTTTTCAGGGATGTTTCAGAATCAGTTTAGCAAGATTTGGTCAAGATGACCTCGAAAAATATGAGTGTTTGTCAGTGATTTTTTTCTGACAAAGCTCCAATAAAGAAGTTAGCCTTTTGTTTAAGAGTCTAAGAGCAACAGCTCCTCTTTTCTGACACTCTTATAAGGTTGAGTTAAAACAAAGACTTCCAAGTAGCCCATCAGATGATTCCCATTTGTGAATGGATCACCAGCTTGTTCCATATCAACTTAGGCATGTTTTCTGAATATAAAACTATCTTCTTTCCTATACGTGTCATGCTTCAGGAATGGATTTGCTATTTTATTTATATTAGCTTGTTAAATATTTGCCCAGAGATATTAATTCTGAATCTCATGTGTTTTATTTTTATCAATAATGATAAGATTTTGACATGTATAAGAATTTCAGACCATTATATTTAGTGGGATAATGCTTTCCTTTCTTTTGAAACCACATTGTGATTAACAGCCTATAAGGAAAACCTGTCAGAGGCAGGTTGATGGATATAAAGTCCAGTCATTGCCTATCTCTCCCTCGGTAACCAAAATTCAGAGGGAGATTTATTAGAACAACATAGATGGCTCCTAGAGCTCACCCACCCTCACCTCTCCACAGGTAAACTCACGCATGTTATTCTTCCATGACTTCCCAATAATTGCTAATGATAATTTTATTGTTTATTTATCATGCTTGTTTTGATTCTGACACCACTGGTTATCCTTCACAGAATTTCTCCTCTGAGCTTTCCTTATACTAACGGTTAACATATGAAATAGGGATAGCAGGTATTTTTCATGACTTTACAAAGCAGTGTTTTAATTAGTTCATAAGAGAGGATCAGAATATAATGAAGACTGTTCTACTGGGCCACATAAATGACTGCCCAAGAAGATGTTGAAGTCTTCATTGTTAAGAGAGTTTTCCTAAGATGTTAAGGGAGAAAATCATCATTCATTTGGACTTAGGTATGTGACCAAAGTTTCCTCTGAACTCTATGTACTAAATTTCACACTTTAAACCCTTCTTTAATAATTGTTCTTTAAGGTACCCAGGATGATTATAGAAAAGGGTAAGTCATACAAAGCAGAGTGTGGTTTTACAGGTGAGATCTTGTATGTGTACAATGGTCAATGTCCTCATGAACTAGTTTATGGATATGTCTATGGTGACCAGGCAATTCCAAAGCTTCAAAGTCAGAAACTCTATATTTACTCATTACCTGACTTACACTGGGTGCATAGCAGGAGCTCAGTAAATGTTTGATGCCATCAAAAATATTATCTAGTCTTCATCTAAAAATGAAAACATTTTTAGAGAGCATCCTGTAACAAAGATTGAGAAGGAGTTCAAATCTGGTAAACATTCACATCAAGCCCAAACCACTCCTAGTGTCTTCTTGTCACAGATATTATTATATATATTCTGAATCTCTTTCCAAACAAAACATATTTCTGGTAATATCAGGAGTTCACAGTCAGTATTAACATTCTTATATTTTATTTTCTAACTCCCAAGTAGACATTAAACACAATTATCCTTATCTAGGTTCCTTTAGAACAGTGGTTCTCAACCTTTCTAATGCCTCAATCCTTTAATATAGTTCTCATGTTGTGGTAACCCCGAACCATAAAATTATTTTCGTTCCTACTTCATAACTTAATTTTGCTACTGTTATGAATCGTAATGTTTCTCAATGTTTGAAAAATGCAAAGTGGAACTGTGTTGAGAGCACAAGGGTGTGTGTGTGTGCTTAAGCTGGATTCCTTTTAGTACCAGAATGCAAAGTTCTAAATCAGTGATTCTTAACCTTTCTAATGCCACAAGTTGAGAACTGCTGCTGTAGAGCCTAAGACCATCGGAAAACACAGATATTTACATTATGATTCATTAACCATAGCAAAATTACAGTTATGAAGTAGCAACAAAATTAATTTTATGGTTGGAGGTCACCACAACATGAAGAACTGTATTAAAGGGTCACGGCATTAGAAAGGTTGAGAATCACTGCTTTAGAACTTTGCATTCTGATACTAAAAGGAATCCAGATAAGCACACACACCCTTGTGCTCTCAACACAGTTACACTTTGCATTTTTTTCAAACCTTGGGAAACACATTCAAATGAGGAAGAAGTTTTCTTTCTCTAAATGACCCAGGTATGGTTCTGAAAACTAAGGCAAACCACCAGAAGAGAGTTAGAAAGCACTCTTCCCTATTGTAAATGCCTAAAGGAATGGGATTCATGCTCTGAGACAAGGAGAAGAAGAGTGGCAATAGTCCTCTGGCAGCACAGACTGTGGGTGCCAATGTGATGAGATGGTAGGAGAATGCTGCGAAAGAATAACTTTTTGCTTTCTCAATGCTCTTTCCAGACAAGTCCTTCCCAGAGTTATGGAAATTCCTAGCAATAATAATGCCAGCAGCTTCTACTTCATACTGATGGATCTCCCAGGCCTGGAGAGTGCTCACTGCTGGACAGCTATTCCTATCTGCCTTATCTATGGTCTCTCCTTGCTGGGCAACATCATCATAATGTACATTGTCAAGTCTGTGCCCAGCCTTCACACACCCATGTACCTCTTCCTTTCCATGCTTTCAGTGGCTGACTTGGGCCTCTCAGCTTCTACGCTGCCTTCAATGGCAGCGGTGTTTCTCCTGGGCCAGAGGAAGGTGGGAGCTGCAACCTGCTTTGTGCAACTCTTCTTTATTCACACTTTCTCAGTCATTGAGTCAGCTGTGCTGCTGGCCATGGCTTTTGACCGCTGTGTGGCTATCCGACAGCCCTTACGCTATGCCACCATTCTCACAACCCAGCGCATTGGGGCCATTGGGCTGGCCATTGTGACCCGCAGTGCTGCCCTTCACCTGCCCCTGCCTGTACTCCTTGGAAGACTTCAGTTCCAGCCTGTGAATGCTCTGTCTCATTCTTACTGTGTTCACCCTGATGTTGTAAGGCTGGCCAGGTCCAGCACTCTTGTGAACAGTGGCTTTGGGCTCTTTGTCATGCTTTCCACATTGGGGACAGACGTTGTACTCATTCTCCTCTCCTATGTGCTGATCTTGAAGACAGTATTAAGCATTGCTTCCAATGCTGGGCGACTCAAAGCCTTCAACACCTGCATTTCTCATATCTGTGCTGTACTTCTCTTTTATACCCCACTAGTCAGCCTGTCCATGATCCATCGCTTTGGGAAAAAGAAACTATCAGCTCAGGTATACATGCTTCTCTCCTATCTGCACTTTCTTGTACCTCCAATGCTCAACCCAATTGTCTACAGTATAAAAACCAAAGAGATTCGGGTACGCATTCTGAAGCTGCTCCACCTGAAGAAGTTTTGAGCCCAAAGGAAAAAAAATATTGGTTCTGATAGTCAACCTGCTAATTAAGATAAACCACATAGAAGGTAGAATGTACCTCTCTTCTGATCAATTATTCAAAAACTAATGACTAAATATATAATGGTGCTTCCCCAGCCATCAGAGCAGTGCCTGTCAGAAGGGGAAAATGTTTCTTATTCTGCAAATGTCACTGTCAGCCTGAGAGGCCTCGGGTTAGGGGAAACTTAACAGCCTCTGGAGAGAGTATCAGTTAAATGTAAAAGTAAACAGATTAGAAGAGTAGGATTTAATGACATTAAAGATCTTTTTCAACTGAAAACCTAGAATCAAAAGGGCCTTACTTGATTGTACTTTCTGAAATGTTTGCAAGTATGTGAAATCAAAATATGCTTTTCTTCTGACTTGCATATCAACTATACCTAGCCCTTTGAATAAAGGGAAAGCCCTGCTCCTCACTTTCTAATACATAAATGAGATACTATATGCCCTCAAAAACTACATCAAAATGCTGTAGTTCTTGAATGGTAGATTTCATATATAAGTCAATTTTCTCTCCATACTTTTTAAAAATGTATATATTTTATTGATGTCAGAGAGGAGGAGAGAGAGAGAGAAACATCAGTGATGAGAGAATCATTGATTGGCTGCCTCCTGCACGCCCTGCTACTAGGGATTGGGCCTGAAATCCAGGCATGTGCCCTTGACTGGAATCAAACCTGGGACCCTTCAGTAAACAGGCCAACACTCTATCCACTGAGCCAAACCAGCTAAGGCTCCATCCATACTTTAGATAATAATTTTTAAAGTACATTTTTATGAGAACAGACTAGGTTTTCAGAAACAAATAAAGGTAGAGAAATTGATTTGCTCACTTTGTCATGGTCTTCCTTTCTGGATTAAAGCTTCAGCTAACTTTGATAGAATTGCTTTATTAAAAGCATAACCAGTGATAGGATAAGCAAGTATTTCACTTAAGTGCTAATATTTTGTATCAGATTGTATTATAAAGTTATTTACAATCTTGTGAAGGGAAGGCAAAAAAACATATTATCAACATTTTATTTCTGCCCTAGATAGTCACTCATTTGGATTATATTTATTTACCTCTGCTGGGCCACCTCCTATTTAAAACAAAATAGACTATTGCTTCCTTATTAGGAAAACTTTAAATAATTCAGTGAAATATGCTTTAAGCATATGTCTCCAGGTGCTTCCATGGCTGACAGTACAGTAGAGGGAAGACACTAAGAATTCAAGTTTACTTAATCGAGTGAGATTTCAAGAGATACTTCTTTTTTTTTAAAATATATTTTATTGATTTTTTACAGAGAGGAAGGGAGAGGGATAGAGAGTTAGAAACATCAGTGAGAGAGAAATATAGATCAGCTGCCTCCTTGCACACCCCCCTTTGAGGATGTGCCCGAAACCAAGATACATGCCCCTGACCAGAATTAAACCTGGGACCTTTGAGTGCACAGCCCGACACTCTATCCACTGAGCCAAACCAGTTTCGGCTAGAGATACTTCTTTAAAGTGATGAATTTTAAGTGAATGCCAGAAAAATGAAATATCTAATCATTATCTGTTTTTCAATGTCTGGCCTATTTTATATATATGTTTTAGGTCCATTATAGCTGGGGCCTCCCTATTTTCTTGCATTCATACTCAGGGGTGTAACAAATAAGTGCACCCACAACAAACAGGGTTTGGTTTTGTTTTCCATTTATATTGTGAAACAAAATAATTTTATAAAACATTATTTTTGTAGGACATGAGTTGCCTGCCTTGGTTTTCAATGCTGTGGCTAAAATTGTGATTTCTATTTATTAATAACTACAGAGCTATATCCTCAAAATTGAAAGTCTTTCATTTCATTGAACTTTTATTATTTCTATTTATTAAACAATAAAAAAGATGTTTTGCTGCATTTATATGAACATAATAATAACAAAATTTATTAAATATATAATGTGTGGTTTTTTAGGAATGATATATTTACATATATTATATTAAATAGCATCGACTCAGGTCTTTCATAATAATAAAATAATAATAACTATTTTAATATTGACAAGCTGTTATAAGGTTTTTAATGGAGCACCCCATTTAATCCTCACAATAATGTGCATTAGTTTCTTCATGGTGCCCATTTCACTGATGGGGAAACTGAGCCAATGAGAAGTTAAATAGCATGCTCAGACATTCAGAGCTATTAAGTGATGGAGCTGAGATTCAAACCCACACATTTTCACTTCTGGGCCATTTATTATTAAACATATATCTATAATTTCCAAATTATATATTACGGATATTAAAAATGAGGCTTAAAGAGCTTGTGCAACTTATATAATTACCAGTGGAGACCATCTTAAACTCATGTCTTTGCACTCACAAACAGCTAATTACTTTTAAACACAATGTAAGGGTATCTCAGAAACAGACAGATCTGGAGAGGGCTAAAGGTTTTCCAATCACAATGGAGTTTCTTTATAGCCCATTGCAAAACTTGTTTGGCAGTGACATGGTTAAAGGCAGTTGCTGCCCCAAAGCCCATGGCGCCTGTTGTGTTCATTAGGGAATAATATCCAATAATTGGCTGATTGGCTGTAAAATCACTCTTCGTTGCAAATTCATTTCTATTGTAACCTGGAGGATGATAAGAAACCTTGTGGGTGAGTCAATAACACAGGGTTTAGAGAGGAAAGGGGTAAAGCCATTTGCCCCTTATTAATGCGCACTTAAAAATAGTGTTAATAATATGTTTTGAGTTAAGCACAGTATTTTAAAGATTTAGATAAAGAAAAATGGGTATTTAGATCTATTGGATGAGTTTCCTGAATTATTCCTCAAATGTGCTGGCATAATAGATAAAACCAATTAAATGGGCAATTATGATGGGGTGGTTACTCATAGCAAAACTTCTTGCTTTAAATACAGACTGAGAGAGGTGCACCTGAGGCTCTAAGAAAATGATTCTATTCCCCTCCAAGATAGACAAGCTGAGATGAAAATTAACAAGTATTATTTACATTATAAGTACTTTGCAAGGAATTCTTCAAGTCTTTCATCCATTATCTTATTTTATTATCAATTAAACATATAAAATTGGTATGCCATGAAAATTAGTACAATTTACCTATTTTCAATTTTCAGTGAGTATATGGATATAGTTCTAGAGAATATTTTGTGAACATGAAACCCATTCTCTTATTATTTCATATTACTAGCATGGCATAATATTGGCTCTTAATATTATTGATCTGAAATCCTAACGTTGTTGCCAAAGAAAATGGACTTTGTGTTGGGAAATTCAGCATGGTGTCCCACTCCGTTTACTGTGATGCCACAGGTTTACACCTGATGGAAATTCTGCTGACAGACCAAAATAAATAGTTCTAATAAGGAAGTAACTGATAGTGTATTCTTGAAATTTTGGAAAAGTAGCTCTTGCTTAAGCCCAAATTTCATCTAAGTATTTTTCCCACTGTTTTTGTACTGAAGTCAAATGCCTTTCTTTCTCAACTATATTCTTTTGCTTCTCAACACTAAATTCATTTATTCAACAAGTGCTCCTTAGAAACTGAAAAAAAATGGTAAAAGAATCACGCAATCACACATATACTCATGAAACTTCCTCTTATAGACAGTCAACTCAGTGTAATATGTATAAAAACAATATTCTCCACAAATATGAACATTTCAATGCCTTTTTATAGGTCCATTTTCTCAAATGATAAGTTAACTTAAGTCAGGAATTCTGGCTCTGCTTCCACTGTGGATATCCATTGTGATTGTATATATGCATTTGAAATTGATGGGTAAAGTGAGAAATCTTTCAGTTTGTTAAAGAAATGTGTGGTGTTTTCTTTTTCTCTAATTAAAATACAGATAGTGACAGTGTAGGGTGAATGTAAGATGGAGAATTCACGAAGAGCATTCAGACACTTAATTTGAATGCATGGTTCTTCCCAGTCAATGTTTTCTTTGTGTGTGTGTGTGTGTGTGTTTTAACATTTCCTCAACTTATTTCCAGTTGCTCCATTAGTAACTGAATAAAAATTCATAAATTTATATGTAGAATCTTGTCCAATTTTCTAAAGTATCAGAATTTAGATAACTTACAGGTAACTTGATTTAAAATATTTTACTTTGTATGCTAAATTATAAGGAAAAACAGCATCCTTATTTATTATATTTACCATATGCTTATTGGTCTTTAATGATCTGTGATCATTTGATAAATCTTAATGAAAGAATCTGTGCTTGTGACTGATCACCATTGGGGCCTCATCTCAGAGGTTAGCACCTTTTTAAAAAAAATTTATCTAAGAGTGTTCCTTTATTCTTAACTTATTACCTTTGCTTGTCTTTTACTTTCTTGCTTTAATGGGCCTGCAACAGCATTGGTCACTTCTCCTTATAAAGCAGTACTATACCTTCTCATGTACTGCAGTGTTTCTCAGATCTCTGGATTAGAATCACCTGGAGGGCTTGTTAAATTGCCAAATGCTGGGCTTCAATTCCAGAATCCTGACTCAGTTGCTGATGCCCACGCCCTCTTTTATAATCCAGTGCCACTAGATATATATTCAGCACAGAAGAGAATATCCCCAATCTGCTAGTCAGGTATAATGCAGTTTTCTGAAGTGATTGTGTTAGCTCTAGAGGTTGTCTCTGTTCACAACTTGCTTATTTCTATCATGATTCCAGCTATAATAGATATCTATCTCCTAGTTTATTTGGGTGCTGATAACTTGAGATTTTTTTCCTGATGCATCTCTATACATTCTCTACCAATCACTCACTCACTCACTCATACACCTACAAATTTCCAACTGCCTTGCACCTTCTCACTGTTTTTGCTTTTTCTCCATTACTCTCTCCTCGCAGAGCTACAACTTACTTTCAATCTAAAATAACACCACTTTCTCCTTCCACATTGTATCTTTTTACATATTTGAAATAATATTGACTCCTTATTTGAGGGACCTTATTGTTAA